AGTTACAAGACAGCGACAACGTTTAAATAGGGGTGTAGTACAGAAAAAGAAGTGCGTGCTGAACGCTTATTGTATAAAGGTTAGAAGGAGAGAAAGAGAGGAGAGAGAAAAAGGATGGAAAGGGAGGGGTTCAAAGGGTGAGCAGTGGGGAGTGTCCCAAGTGCACTCAACGTCAGGTACGGCCAGACGTATTCTCGCACACAAGACCAGTCGGCGTATTCCGTGGACACTATTGCACGCGATATATATTTCCGTACGTTTGATTGCCTTTGATAGGGCTCAAATATTCCCGAGAGGGAGAGAGGAGAGGGTATAGGCCTCTCGCTGGGGTATGATCAACGAGAAGAAGGGAACCAAGCCGCGGGGGACAAGGTTTGCAATGCGAGGATTCTTGAGCACTGCTCTTGGGAGGGTACTGCCGATTGCGTGAATGCCATTCAGGCCAGTTCCACCCTTGATAGGTGAGTTGTGCATCGTCTGCATACAGTTATCTATTCAGTTTTGACGAGTACAAAATGAAAAGTGATTACTCCATCCTCTATGCATCCATGTGGTTTCCTCTCTGAATTTTCGGTAACCCTGTCCTTCCTCTCCCTCTCCCCCGTTTCTCCCCCCTCCCCACCCAGCTCGCAAGGTACACCGACAACTCGACGTCGCATCATCCTTCGACACTCTCCCCATAATCATTTGCCAACAGGAATCGTTCTCTTGCTTCGAAAGAATTCCTGTCGATCCCCAACTCGTCCGGGGCCCTTGGACGTTTGTCTACCGTACGCGGGGTCACAGCTCAGTCGACGATAACGCCAGAACACGAGCATAAAATGCAATGCACCCTTTTCGCCAAATGACGTGACGTGTGCCGACGCATATGGTACCCAAAGATAACAGCCGCACAGACATTTGCTATCAGCTTTCACAGGCGAAACCCTCCCACATGTTCGCATAGAGCGCATGCTTCGGTCTCACCCCATGGTTAAGGTCGCTCGGAATTGTCCAGGAGATGAGGTGAGAGACCCAAAGAGGGGAGCCTGTCGACACTTTCTATACTCTTATTACTCCGATCAGTCCCTCGCCTCGCCTCCCCACTACGCTGTTCGTCTCTCCCCACCGTGAAACCTGATTGGAACCATAACGACCTTTTGTGCAGGCCTCCCATTGGACCCACACAAACGTTATTAGGTAAGAAAATATCCGGTCATCCAATGACCTTCTGTCCTTCGGACTTTGACCACAGCTCTGCGGCCGTGCACCCCTCGAATGGACATACAGCTCAAATTTTGGCGAGCGGAGATGGAGAAAATACGGCGTTTCTGTCATGAACTATTGGACTTCTTCGGTCTTCGTGAGACTAATTTAATTATATTGATTCTCTAAATAGATTCATGGCCATTTTCATCCGGTATATTTACCATAATTACAGCATAAGGGATGGGCCAGGCCATACGGCAGGAGGCAGTCACCCCCCACATGAGCATACGGCCTCTATACATGACATGAATGATAAATTCATTTTAAAAAGGAGGGGTATCTCCCCCCCCCCCTACGAAATAAGCTGAGATGTAAACTCGCATAAAGGGTCAACGGCGAATATGTGAGAGGGCTTGATGCACCTGGGAAGATCCCAATGGTCTGGCTCGAGTGATCCTTATACGTGGTTAGACGTTCGACACGAGGAGAAACAGTGTTTTTGGCGCATAGATGTGCAGCTCTCAACTCATCGGCCTGCCTCATCAGATTCTGGAACACTTCCCTGTACGCGCGAATAGAGCTAAGCTGGCGGCGGACTGTACGCGGACCGCCACCCCCTCTTCTTTAGCTTTCAACCCTTCCGCTGCGGTATTTAACACAGAGAGAGAGGGGGGTAAAGCGCGCGCGCAAGACACGGAACTCCTGTCGCAGCTCTACCGTTTGAGCCTGCACTGTATCCATACCTGGGGAGCAACTTCCCACCAAGACCAGCGCCCAAGCCACAGACAAACGGCGAGTTGAACCAGTTTCAGCGAGCATTTCTCCGGGGGCGCCTGTTCATCGACGATCTGCATGTCTTTTTTTTTTCGACATGATATAAGGAAGACTCGGGGTTTGGCAATGTCGCAGAGACTCTATTCCAATGCTTGTTTTTGTACACTTGGGACATGTGAATCAAGGTCTGCCCTGTCGAACTGGAATAATACAGCCCAGCGATCGAGTCGAAGTTCTTGCTGCTGCTTCTCTGACCCAGCCACGACTCTTGACATACGCCAAAATCCGCAACTATTCACATTTCTTCCAGGAAATCACGATAACAAGAAAGATCTGATCCCTTTTCTTTTCTGTGACACAGGTCGCAACTTCTCCCCGAGGCCACTCCACATCCACAGATCTCAATATAGCCGACGGGACCCGAAAGGCTTCAAAGATCCTTGAAAAGCAGATCCTTATATCTGATGGACATTGTGGACGTCTATCATGTCACTCCCACGTCTACTCGGTTGTACTCTAATACGCA